CTGGTCCATTGAGAACAGATGGATTTTGGACTGGTCCATTGCCATTAATAAAATACTAAATATGGTTAAAGTGTTACGCTGATGGACCCAATGGACCATCAATGGACCGCACATTTGCCAACCCTGAAGTAATATATATTTATTGCATGGTGCATTAAAGAATTTTGCAGATTTTCGTGAGTTTTTCTTTATAATATCTTTTTTTTTATTTGTCCATCCATTATTAAAAAATTTTCTATAAATAGAAAATCATTGATGAAAATCATCGAAGATACAATAGTATCATAATGGGTGAGCCATTAACTCCAACGAATCAACAATGGTTAGTAAAAGTTAAAATCTCACCAATATCTTTGAATGAAAAAAAGAAATCAAAAAAGAAGAATTAAATTTTATAATATTTCAAAATGGAACAAGGGTGATATTAACAAGTTGAAAATCATTTTGAAAGATATCAATAATAACTCTTTACATTAGTATAGTAATTTTTTCCACCAATAAAGCTCAAAAAAATATCAAACCTTATAAAAAAATCTTTAATATAATATTAAAAATTACTTTTTTTTTCATGAAAATGTAGCAAATCATTAAACAAATTAAACAAAGTTACTAGTTTAGACGCAAATATTATTTAAAATCAATCTAAATTTTCTAATTTAAATTTTTTTATTTTATATGTATTTTCTGCTCACCTTTTCTCTCTTAAAAAAAAACAGAATTCTCATCAGTAGACAATATAAAATCTACTTGTCTTCCTTTTCAAATAGAAACAATGATGTGCTACTATATGGAGGAAGATGAAATTCTTGCTTTAAATTAATTGGTCCAAAAGAAGACAATAAATAAATCATTGGCATTGGATAGATTAACATTTAAAGAGTGGGAAGGAAAAAAAAGAAAGAAAAGCATTCATGTATATCGTAGTCCTTGTAATAATATTCACATTTCATAATAAAATACTGTCACCAATTAATTCTGGGAGAGCATGTTTTAATTGATGATAACAAATTTTTATTAGTTTATGTGGATCAGAATGAATAGGCTAATGTTAATGAATTAGATTTATTAGCGGATAATTTTGTTTTAGTGATTTGATAAAAATGATTTATTTAATTTTGTATTTAGTCAAAACTAATTATTAACTTATTATTAAGTTAATTTGTTACAAAGTTATTCTTCAACTACAGCAAATTCTCATTTCTTATATACATGTGACTTTCTGCAAAAGAAGTTAATATTGGAAATTATAAAATAGGTGGAGAGGGCAGAGTAATTGAATATCTTGGATGTTTGGCAAAGGTTTATTCTGTTGAAGATGAAAGAAAATACTTTTTCAAGAGATGATACATAAGCTTCTTGGATATGAAATGAATCCATTTTCAATTACAGATAATTGTACTGCAGATGGTGCGATTTTATACACTGTTGGAGGTGGTCAACATGCTCTTTTGATCTTTGAGGCAAAAAATGAAATTGGGTCAGGAGGAGGTGATCCACATAGACAAGCTTGTGGCTCTTATGGAAAATATCTTCCAATGGTACCAAATTGTGAGAGATATCTTAATCCTTGTTTTCTTTTGTATCTTGCTGGACCATGGCTTGGGATCTCTGGTGCTTTTTTTGGGAAAGATATTATAATTGAACCTCTTACTCCTTTGATACCTTTGGTACCTATTCTATGCCACCATGATCGCATCATAAATATCCTTGTTATGTTTGATGCATTAAAAGCTGGGTTAACTGAACTAAAAGCTTATTATAATGATGTAAAACCAGATAAATTGGATATTGAACAACAGTCTCATTTTCCTTATCCACATTCCTTCAAAAACAACAATAAAAATTCATATGGGCCAATTTGTTTGATTGATGCCCTGTGATATCTAAATGTAGATCAATTTTCTATGTTTTTTATATAAAAAACTGCATACTGCCATATTTCACCACACACATGCGTATAACTCACATAACAGTCACACTTGTGCACCTAAGCAAACTTGTTCATCTATATTCATATTACTCACTACTTTGGTAATCCCATTTCAAAATAGACTGGTCAAGAATAATCACATTTTGAAGATTAGTACATTTTTAGTTAGGACACTATTGACTTCTAAAAATGAGAAAAACAAAAGAGCAAGAAAGAATTTGTCATTTATGTCATAATACCCAATCAACAAAGTGGAGAAGGGTAACTGAAGATGCCTTGATCAAATGTAAAGATAATGGTATTAGGTTAGAAGTTGGCAAGTATCTATGTAATATTTGCTATTATGAATTAAGAAATAACAAATTATATTTGAAACAAGGCCAACAACTTGTTATTCCTAAAAACAAAGAATTGCGAACTAGTTTGTTGCAAGAATATCATGACATCCCTATTGCTGGACACTTAGGAATTGATAAAACATATGAAGCTATTCAAAGAGATTACTTTTGACCAAAAATGGGAAAAGATATACAGAAATACATAACTAGCTGTGATTCATGCCAAAGAAACAAAAGTAACAATAAACAACCAGCTGGATTATTACAACCACTCTCTACACCATTGAAACATTGGGAACAAGTAATGATGGATTTCATAGTGCAATTACCAACAACATGTAAAGGATATGATGCAATTGTAGTAATTGTAGATCATTTATCAAAACATGCACATTTTTGCCCAATACATACATCTGTAACCACACCAGAAGTTGCAAAGATTTTCTTTTCCACTATTTTCAAAAATCATGGTCTACCTCAAGTTATTATTTCAGATATAGATGCAAAATTTACCAGTCATTTTTGGAAAACATTATTTGAACAGGTAGGAACTAAATTGGCTATGTCAACTGCATTTCATCCACAAACTCATCAGGAGAACGTGTTTTTTGATACACATATTATATGTATATTATACATGTATTATTTTACATTACAGGTGATCTGCATATAATATATGTATAATTCGCGTGTAATTTATGGACATGTGTATTATATGTATATTATATGTGGATCACCTGTAATATAAAATAATACATGTATAATATACATATAATACATGTATCAAAAAAAAACACATTTTCCTGATGCCATGATTATTAATTTTTATATCTTATTAAATTTATTATTTTTAATCAAAGTTATAATTTAATCAAATTGTTCTTTATTTTTCAAAGATTAGAAAGAAATGATATAATATTTTAGATAGTTTACAAGATAATAGTTATCAATTGTGGTCTTTAATTTCATTTTTAGAAAGAGTTATTACTAAAGCTTAATAATTATTTTTAATAATTTTATCTTTATGTAAGATGCTTAAAAACATGTATAAATACAGTTGAATTTTGACTGTATGAAAAGAGAGTTTGTGGGGATGTTGTATGTGAAATTGAAATTATGTGAAATTGAAATATTATGGAGTGGGGTGAAATTCTGATTGGCTAATTTGA